CTGGAGCTGTGGTTCTTTTTTAAGCTGATAAATTAATTTGAGTCATTCCTAGGCTGATTTTTAAGGCGCTTGAGAAAGAGTGAACTTGGTTTGCATTTGGATGAGAGACCACAAGGAAATCTCAGCACTGTCGCTCGGACTGGGAACTCAAAAAATAAGAAGGACCACAGAAACCACGTCTCTCTTGCTGCCGAGGAAATGACATCTGTGTGTCCCTGACGTCAACAGGCATCATTTTGCTCAGTTCATTTTGTAAAATATACTTTTATTAAAGATGTTAAGAATAAAAGATAAAGACAAACAGAAACGAATGGAGGGTGAGAGAAAGGAATGAAGAGAAGTTAAAGAGCGAGCTAAAAGTACATGAAAGAAAAAAGTAAGCAGAATAGAAAAGAAAGAAAAAAGGTACACAAAGAAGTCACTTGTGATGTTTGAAGCACCTATAAGTACAATTATAAATTTACCTCTTGCTCTGTGGTTACAATATAACTTTTTTTGCCCTATAATTTATTCTGTCTAATCATAAAAACCACAAATATGTCATTTTTGTTTCTGTTTCATGCAACAAAGTCTAAGGGATTTGCAGTCAGCAATAAACTGATTATTTTATTATTAAAAATCCCCACCAATCTATCTGATGGAATGCTGATGCTAGCTGCTGATTGGACTAGTTATAGGTTGCTGGTTTTTTAAACGAGGCGACAATGCTTACTAAGTTTATATATGGTAATTAGTTCTCATTTTGAAGTGGATGCTAACAATGTGCTAGATTTAGCCTTCTCATGTAATCCTATTTTATAATGCAGTTCTACCAGGATGCCAAAGGGTTAGCGTAAACTTAAACTGCAAAATGTTTGCCTACTGGCCTGTAGATAAAGACACTGGAACTGAACCAGCAAAAATAAAAATGACAGATGCAAATAGTTTGGGCAGTTTTGAGATAAAAGAAAGCAATCGTACATTATATTTCAGAGTTAAGCGAATCCATAGTTTTGTTTAGAAGCTATTTCATTTTTTTTATCGCACGCTTTATATTTTCCTTCATTCTGTATTTTGGGGGGTTGGGATTCATTTGTTCCTATTCGTTAAGAAAAGATTTTTTTAAAAATAAACATTCCTGCCGCATTATCCCTGTATGTGTTTTCAACTGGAAGTAGTCTGTAAATCAATATGCCTGGAGTGGTTCTGTTATTTATATATAACATGGAGAGGAAGAGATTTCTGAAAATCTATTCCTTGCAGCTTTGAAAAAAAAAAACATAAATCCAGCATTGTTTGAAGCAAAGCTAAGCTGTTACTCTTAAGAGCAGATTCAAAAATCACAGAATAGAAGTTGGAAGACAATTTAGAGCAGGGGTGTCCAACCTTGGCAACTTTAAGACTTGTGCCTGGCTGAGGAATTCTGGGAGTTGAAGTCCACAAGTCTTAAAGTTGCCAAGGTTGGACACCCCTGATTTAGAGTCTTCTAATCCAACCCCATATCAAGAACAGGTATCCTAGACAAGTGCTTGAATTTCTGAAGTGAACTCTTAAGCACCCTCACCTTGGCTGAGTATTACTAATCTCAAGGGCCGTTTTTGCATGCCAGTTTAAGCCAGGAATCCTGGCTTCATAAATCAGGATGCTAACAAGCAATGACTTACTGTATAGAGCTGATTCATTCATCCCAGTGTGTAAGCAGAGAGGTGTGATGTTGAAAGTTAGAATTAGGGCCAACATCTAGATTTTAAGCCAACCACAAGCACTTGCATGGACTTGAAAATAATCCTAAATCCAGACATCATATAAAGATGTACTTTCTTAGTTTGTTTACCTGCTTAAAAGTACTGGTACATTGTGGTTCATTAAGCTGTAGCAGGAATGGATTTTACTTTTAAATGTACATCTTTAATACTGCATTGCATGTGATACAGATAGACACAAAATAGAGTTTTCTCAGGGTATCTTCAAATTTATATGTGTGTACACACACACACAATGCCATCTCAAATTCATATTTATAAAAGTTGTCCAGGCAATAGACTTGTAATTCTCTCCTTCAATTTTCATCCTTGGAAATTTGTATGTTATCCATATAGCAGCAGTTTCTTCTTTACGACCATAATGTTTGCAAATAATTTTTTTCGGTGGATCTGTTTTCAGAGGCATATTTTCTGTCCCACTTTCAATGCATGGCTTGCCAAAAGAATAACAATCAATGTGTAATATCGGGGTGGGATTCTACCCGTTCGCACCTATTCGCTAGAACTGGTTTTTAACATTCTAAGCAGTTCGGAGAACCGGTTGTTAGAAGAAATTACCGGCCTAATCCTGTAAGGAAGGCAGGAAGGAAACATTCTGGTGTTGCTTACAGAAACTGCCTCTCCGTTAACCCTTATTACATTCTGGGCAGGACTAGACTTCCTGTCTCAGGAACGTCTCTGGAGTTTTTTCCCCTTCCTTTGCTGGTACTTTGCTTGTGTGGAGTGACCATTCAAAGTTACAGTGGCACTGAAAAAAGTGACTTATGACCATTTTTCACACTTACGACTGTTGTAGCATCCCCACAGTCATGAGAGGCCAGGAGAGTAGATGCATGCCTCGATGTGAGTGATATTGAGTTGGCCACACCCAGCCAGTCACATGACCACCAAGCCATGCCCACCAACTAAGCCACGCCCACAGAACCTGTTGTTAAAAAATTTGAATCCCATCCCTGTGTAATATGTTGAGCGATCAGTAACATCAGTGACCAGGGAGACGTAATATTGGTGTAGATTAAAAGAGGAAGGATCAGACAAATTGATACTTTTGTATTAAGCCGTCACTTAATTTGCATTTGGCTTAATGGGTGAGTGTTATCAGCTATTTATTATGTTTCATAAACGATAGATTTTGCCTTAATCTTTTTTTACCAGTTAGTAAAAAAAATCCAACACAGCGGCTTGCATAGGGTAATTTGCTTTCCCTTTCCTTGGAAAGGGTCTTATGTGGGTGTCAATTTTTTTTTTTCAGAATGTCATTTTTGCAGAAGAGATCCATTCTTTAGATCAAACAAGGCTGTTGAAGTCTGAGCAGTTAAAAGGCAATATAAGCCAAAATTCCAAGGAGGGTTTTATAGTTAAAATGCTATTTAATTCAAGAGATGGAACATCCTTGGAGAACATATGTTCAAACATTGCTCCCAAAGTCCATTTAACCAGAAGCAATATTTTTCTGGTTATTTTTCATTGCTACCATTAGAGGAGAGGGGAGAATTTGGCATATCAGCTGATTGTCAGGGTAGCATCTCAAATAAGCCTTGACAGGTAGTCCAGGCAGGAATTAAAACTTTTGGTTCTGTTACATGCCTTTTTATTTTTATGATGGTTCATGACTCTAATAAAATATAATTAACTTTGTCCATTTGTAAAAAAAAACATTTCATTCGGGGAATCTGTTAGCATGCAGAAATGGGTGGGCAAGTCATTTATTGATAGATCTATGAATAAATTTGCAGTCACTTTAGCAAGAATGTTTAACTCTGATTGCTCAAAGATAACAAGAAGTTACCTTTACATTTAGTTATTGTTTAAAAATAGAAGTATGAGATAGTGTAATTCGAATGGATTTTTTAATGTATTGAAAACAACCTCCCCCCCACCCCCAAGTTCTGGAGCTCAAGATAAATGATCTCGGTTTGTATGGTTTTTAAATCTATGCCAATGTTTTTCAAATTTGAGGTGGACTTCAACTCCCAGAATTCTGGCTGGGGAATTCTGGGAATTGAAGTCCACTCCTCTTAAAATTGCTAAATTTGGGGGGGGGAGGAACCCTAATCTATGCCTTTTTTTAGTGTGTTGTTTGCTTGGCTTTATGAACCCCAAGTTTAAGCACTAAACTGCTCACCCTTGTTAAATAAAAGCGTTTAATTTAAAAGACTTTTGGGGTCTTCAAACTTGACAGTTTTAAGACTTGCGGACTTCAATTCCCAGAATTCTTCCTCCAGTCATGTTAGCTCAGGAATTCTGGGAGTTGAAGTCCGCAAGTCTTAAACTTGCCAAGTTTGAAGACCCTTGGACTTTAAGTAATTTTGCCCGCCCTTCACTCTCCCGATTGGCTGAACTTCCCAGCCAATCGCCGGTCCGCTTTCTCTTCCCGCCACCGCCCGCGCCAGCTTTCAAAAGCAATTGAGCGGCGCGAGGCAACCGAACTTGCTTAAGGGGAGGGGGGAAGAGAGAGAGAGAGAGAGAGAGAGAGAGAGAGAGAGAGAGAGACGAGCGAAAGTCCCGCCTTCCCCTAGGTCTCCAACGCAAGACGCGACAGGACGACGTCTTGTCTCATTGGATGGATGCCTCGTCCATAAAGCAAAGACCCCTCCCCCGAAGGAACGGAGGGGTTCGGTTGTCACACGGAAGGGGAGGAAAACAGGGTCCTCGAGCGGGGATGCGAAGCGCCGGGAACAAGGTGAGGCGCCCGGGTTACTGTTCAAGGCAGCGGCATGTGTGTGTGTGTTGGGGGGGTGAGGAAGTGAGGCCCGGCCCCTGGGGAAGGTGGACGGCTGAGCCCCTGAGGAAGGGGCCCCAGGTGACGGTTACCGGTTGTTGCTATGGAAACGAGGCCTCGACTTCCCCTTCGGAGCGCTTTTCCTTGACGACCCATCTTCGGAGCAACTTTTTTTTTTTTTTTTTTAAAGGTTCCGCACAGGCAGCTTTTCTTTAAATAAAAAAAAAAAGTTTCCACACGCAGGCCGGTTCCTCACTGCGGACTAGAACCTTGTCTGCCGTGAGATGAAGGCACGCGCTTTCCAAATGGGGTGGGGAGGTGGATTCTCTGCTGTAGACTGTTCTCGCAGACGTGGTCGTGGAGGGAGGTAGTAAAAAGGGCAATTGTTGAATTCTTGGAGGATTGGGTATGAAGGGATATTAGGTGGTATCAGGCAGATGTTCAGCCTGGATTTGGCCTTTTTATTAGAATTAGAATAATTTTTTATTGGCCAAGTGCGATTGGGCACACAAGGAATTTGTCTTCAGTGCATAAACTCTTTAGTGTTCATAAAAGCTATAAATGAAAATCATGATCCTGGTCATCGTAAAAATACATTCATCATAAATCATAAGCTGCAACCCTTAGTGATAGATGGAATTCTTTATTGGCCAAGTGTAATTGGGCACACAAGGAATTCATCTTCGGTGCATAAGTTCTCAGTGTACATAAAAAGAGGGGAAAATACATTAGTCAAGAATCATAAGATACAACAGTTAGGGATAGTCATAGGTTACTAATAATAATAAGCAATAATTTGATTGCTTATTGTACTCTATGACTATCATTAAGAGTACCTGATGATTCTTGACTCTTGATGAATGTATCTTTTATGTATACTGAGAGCATTTGCACCAAGACAAATTCCTTGTGTGTCCAATCACACTTGGCCAATAAAAGAATTCTATTCTAATTCTAATTCTATTCTAATTCTAATTCTATTCTAATTCTATTCTAATTCTATTCTTATTCTACTCTACTGTATTCTAATTGTACCCTATGACTATTATTAAGTTTTGTAC